AGTAGCGCAGCGTTTCAGGCCGGGTGGTAGAACTTTCAAGGACGCCAGTGTTTTTGCCCAGGCTGGAGTAGCATGATGTCTGCTGATGATGTCACGCAATCGCACTACCTCCATTTTAGTAGGCAACATCAAGTTCATTCAGCAGTGCAATGGCAGTTTGTTATAAGATAACAAAGCCATAACTGATCCAGCAAAGTCAGTAAAACACATTTTTTCTTTAATATTCATTTTAACTCAATTTAAAGCATATTAACCGAGATATGTGAGTGTACAGCCTTGATTTTGCAAAGCAATGCATACTATTGTAATCCAACAGTACATTCCTCTTTTTTTTATTTTATTTTTTAAGATATTTGACCGCTATCACATCCTGCAGTTTTCGAGATATTGATGCCACTCCAATTTCGAATGCCCGATCTGATCGGCAGTGACGTACATCTTTCTGATCAGACATAGAGTTTTTGAATGGCAGGCAAAAGTTTTTACAGTGAAAGAACCATAGTAACCACGTAGCAACAGCCTAGCAATCACTTTTCTACTTTAACTCGTCACTGTAGTGATCGCAATTACATATTTTCCCCAAATCGTTCAGCCCCAAATAGAAATATTAATTTTTATCAGTAACATAGAGGTTATCAAGAATGATGTTCCACTTTAGTTATGATCTTAAGATCTTTCAGGTCATTTATAAGCATGTACTAAGAGTATGCTATTGGTATTTAAGTATGAACTTGTTCCACTTCCGTTTTGGTCTTAAAAATGAATTAATAAATGGATTTTATCACTATTTTTAAGGAATGTAACAACATTTATAAGCTCCTCCTCCTTTAACCATCATACCGATGGCTGTAGGCCGTTTCTATTCTATGCTTACAAATGAAATGTGACCATTTACCAGCATTTACTATCATGTTTGGTCTGTGAATTCAGATAATTATTGCATGTTGATATTCATTGATGAGCACACACAAGCAACTGAAAGCCATTAACATTTAACTCACAACAACCAGGGAACACCTGGACTCTATTATCGCATCATATAAACACGTTTATACCACATTTCCAAGCTTGCTTACAAGTAATGTGGCTCTGTTTACTAGCACCTTATTAATTGCGTGCTAATAGTTTACAAATCGTTAAGACCTTCAAATAAAGTGTGACTGATTGGGGAGACATTGTAGTATAAACTAACGGTCATAAAATCTTGTGTGTCCATTTTAAAAATGCCAGTACTGTTTAGAAATGCTAGTTGCTCTTTATGTAATGTGTAATTTCATACAACAGAAATGTCTTATTGCATTAAACAATATGATCTCACAACAGCAATGATATGTAGATGAGCTGGTCAAAGATTTGGTCAGAGTCACAGCACACACACACACACACACACACTCACACAGCTACCATTTAAGCCCTCATCTTCCTCCTGTCCCAGAGTTATGAAGTGCTGGGTAATCCATCAGAATCGCTGTGTAAAAGCTAATATTTAACCAGACTCACCTCTGCAGTTCCTCAAACTCAACAATCCACACACTGTCTGCTCCTCACACACACATGGGAACAGAAGAACATGAACCTGGAGCTAAGTGAGCTCATAAAGAGTGTGTACTCATGCAGGACTCGCGGTGTTGACTCAGGGATTTGGGTGTGGGCATTCTAACATGAAGAAGCCTGTCTGTTATATTGTTATACTCCTCATACAAACGCAGCTTCAAAGAGACGCAGAGCTCTGTTCCAGCTTCTGTCCATAATTCAGCTTTCTTAACATTATAATACAACCCCATTTCCCAGAAAGTTGGGACACAGTGAAAAATGTGAATAAAAACAAAATGCAATGATGTGCAAATCATTTAAACCCTATATTTCTTCGAAAATGCTTCAAAGACAACATACCAGATGTTGAAACTGAGAAATGTTATTGTTTTTTGAAAAGTAATTGCTCATTTTGAATTTGATGCCAACAACAGGTTCCAAAAAAGTTGGGACGGGAGCAACAAAAGGCTGGTAAAGTTGTGTAATGCTTAAAAAAACACCTGGTGGTTATTTGGCAACAGGTCAGTAACATGATTGGGTATAAAAAAAGCTTCTCAGAGAGGCTGAGTCTCTCACAAGTTAAGATGAGGAGGGGTTCACCACTCTGTGAAAGACTGCACGAGCAAATAGTGCAACAATTCAAGAATAACGTTTCTCAATATATAATAGCAGAGTGCTTTTGCTTTTCATCATCTACGGTACATAATAACATTAAAAGATTCAGAGAATCTGGAGAAATCTCTGTATGTAAGGGACAAGGCCAAAAACCAAAAAAGTGTTCGCTGGTAGTGATCTTTGGGCCCTCAGGAGGCACTGCATTAAAAACAGACATGATTCTGTAGTGGAAATCACGGCATGGACTCAGAAACACTTCTGAAAACCACTGTCTGTGAAAACAGTTCGTCGCTGCATCCACAAATGCAAGTTAAAACTCTAAAACACAAAGAAGAAACCACATATAAACAGGATCCAGAAACACTACCACCTTCTCTGGGCCCGAGCTCATTTAAAATGGACTGAGGGGAAGTGAAAAGTGTCCTGTCGTCCGATGAATCAACATTTGAAATTCTATTTGGAAATCATGGACTCTGGGCTAAAGACCACTCAGCTTGTTAGCAGTGCACAGTTCAAAAGCCAGTATTCATGATGGTATAGGGGAGCATTAGTGCCCATGACATGGGTGACGTGCACATCTGTGAAGGCACAATTAATGCTGAACGACATATACAGGTTTTGGCAATATACGCTGCCATCCAGATGACGTCTTTTTCAGGGAAGGACCTGCTTAACACATTCTGTATGTATTTCAACAGCATGGCTCTGTATTAAAAGAGTCTGGGTGCTAAACTGACCTGCTTGCAGTCCAGACCTGTCACCACTGAAAACATCTGGCACATTATAAAATGAAAAATACGACAAAGGAGACCCCGAACTGATGAGCAGCTGAAAACTTATATCAAACAAGAACAGGAAAACATTTCACTTTCAAAACTACAGCAGTGTCTCATCAGTTCCCAGACACTTACAGAGTGTTGTTAAAAGAAGAGGTGATGAAACAACTTTTTTGGAGCGTGTTGTTGGCATCAAATTCAAAATGGGCACACATTTTTCAAAAAAGAGTAAAATTTCTCAGTTTCAACATTTGATTTGTTGTCTTTGTACTGTTTTCAATTAAATATAGGGTTTAAATGATTTGCATATCATTGAATTTTGTTTTTATTTATATTTTACACAGCATCCCAACTTTTTTTGGAGATGGGCTTGTAGCTTTATTAGCGGCCTATAGTGGCCTAAATTTCCCTTTTTTCTTTAAAATTAACGATGTTAATATAGTTTCAATAGGCTGCTCAATTATGGTTATAATCATTAGAATGATTATTCTGGTCAATGTTGAGAACAGATTGCCGACTGCTCCATTCAAACAGGGAGGGTATAAACCCACGTTTCAAACATTTCCGTCTAAGTATATTTGGTGGCCCATTTTAGTCCCCATCATCTCCCTCCTTAAATCATGTCGAAAAACCCAGATGTGCGCCCTCTCACGGCGAAAACAGAGTAGTGCCGCTTTCTTACAGTACAAAATGCCACCAGGGATGTGGCTAGAACACGGAAGCGTGGGAATGGTCTATTATATCGAACATTTATTGAACATTTCTTATATTTCTATTGAGGAAATCGCGATAATTATTGTTATCGTCTTATTGCCCAGCCCTACCTACGTGTCTCCATACGTATTGGGTAGTTGGTTGTGATTATGTTTGTGTGCTTAAAACGGGCTAAAACAAATGTTTTCCTAATGTAGCAAGGCATGTTAGCTAAACAAACAAGAATAATGTGAAGGATTTGAGCAGCAATCATTCGCCTGTGAGATACAGATCATAACTGATTAGTAACCACTCAACTAGAGGGTGATTTCATGACCCCTTGTAACTGTGAGGCCACATTCAGCTACAAACCCTGTTTCTTCCATTGCTGTCCCTGTTTCTCTATGCAGCCCATTCACTTGTGCTCGAAACAAGGAGTCTCCGAAATGAACCACCAGATATCTGATACTGATTTAAAAAGGCCAGAGGAGGAACTGCTGAGAGGGCTTTGCGGCTGCCCCCGGGGAACAGTGCTGCGGTTGCTAACAGGCAGCGTGGTGAGTGTGGTTTGGTGCTTGTGGTTTTGTTGTTGTTTGAAAGCTGGTGTTGACGCTGAATCCAAACCAGGCCGACAGCTGCGGCCAGATTCGACTCGCTGAGAGCTCCTGCTATAAAAATGCCTGAGCGAAGCTCCACTCCTGCTCATGCACTCCGTCTGAGCCCTCAGATATGTGCGTTTATACCCAGATACTCTGCTGCGTAAAGTTGGATACATTTCCAGTCAAACTAGACATTAAGTACAAGTTTATTTCTCTCCAGGAAAAGTTTGTCCACTCTTTGTTACAGCTTCCATTCTTTTCAGGAGACTCACATTGAAGTTTTTCAAAGAAATCTGCATACGCACCTTCAAAGTTCAGTCTTAGAAGTTGGTTGCATTTTCTGCAAGTTATCCCAAAAACCTTAACCAGCAACCTTTCTTCATATCTCAGATGTCCAGGTTTGGCGTTCTAGTGCAAATGTTCTTTTTCATCTGTTTTCTCAGTAGCCATGTTTACATGCAGCCTGATAATCCGTTAATTATCTGACTAATTATCCGTTAACTATCCAACTAGCTCAATCGGAACAGAATACATCCACAAGCATAGCAAAACAACAACAACTCAACTCATCTAAGGGTTAAGCATGCTGGGCCCTGGACTACGACACTGCTGGATAGCCATCAGAGCATTCCAGGAGTGTAGAAAGCGTGTCGCCCTGCCCAACAACACACATACACGGTAAACTTGTTTATTAATTTGAGCAGAAACGTCATGTTTTTATCAGATGCCTCAGGTACGATAAGAACAGAATGCAGGTAGCAACGAACAGATAAACATTACGTACCTGAGTAAGAAGCTGCTCTCGCCTTCCACTCAGTGCAGTGTGTAATAGACAAGTAGGTCAGGACCTGTGTGAGGTCAGCACCCCCTGCAATCAGGAAAAGAATAAAAATATCTCTATCAGTTTGTGCTGCATTGGTGCTGATTTGTGTCATCATTGTTTGTGCTGGGACAGTTTTTGAGAAATGATGCCTTGTATTTATCAGTTTGCAGATTTGATATAATGGATCAGTAACTTTACTATTAAAAAAGAATCAGATATCAGAGCGATATCAATGCCACCGATCCACATTCTCCACTGTTTGAGTCACAGCAACGGCGCCTTATTCAGGAGCCTACGGTCATACACTGCATTTATTTCTTATCTTATGTATTTGTCTTTTTTATCTTGCTGCATTCATTCTACAAACCTCAATTCCACATTATATGAAATGCTAATAACAACAGAAAGCAGTGACTAGTAAGTTGCAATTGACCTGTATTTAATGGGATAAAAGGCATGCAGAACATGTGCAAAATGTTTCTTGCGGTTGTCATGTTGAAATAAGCCTGGACGTCCCTGAAATAGACGTCATCTAGAAGGCAGCATGTGTTGCTCCAAAATGTGTTCAGTGTTCATGGTGCTTTCACAGATGTGCAGGTTACCCATTAATACCCCCCCCATACCATGAGAGATGCTGGCTTTTGAACTTTATGCTGGTAACAATCTGAATGGACTTTTTCTTCTTTGGTCCTGAAGACCAAACATCCTGTATTTGCATAAGCAATCTGATAGATTGACATGTCAGACCACAACACATCTTTCCACTGTGTCAGATGAGCTTGAGCCCAGAGAAGTCGGCAGTGTTTCTGGATGCATGCATTTCTCTGTGCATGCTACAGTCAACTTTTTGGGTTTTTTTTTTGCATTTGTAGATGGGGCGATAGACAGTGTTTACTGACAATAGCTTCTGAAAATATTCCTAGATTTTGTAAACAGAGAGCATCTCACACGTAAAGTCAGCCATTTACAGAATTTTTTGTTTTTTATGTTGTGAGGGTGCGCAGAGAGGATCTGGGCAAACAAGTTTTGGCTTCAAAACACTCCGAATACAAAAGCTTAAGGCTTAATTACAACTTGAGAAATAAAATACCACTTTTTTTTTTGGACAGCTCAAACCAGCAAAACTTAGCCAGACAATTGTGCTGGGACTTCATGATTTATGATGGTGCGCTGAGTGACATCACAGGACATAAAATGTAAATTCTTCAAAACTGTACCAGCACAAGCAACATTTATGACAGCACAGATGTTTCAGTTTCAAACGCACGAAATGCATGTGTTTTTTAAAAGTATGGGAAGCCAACTTCTCAAAAAAGACTGATTTTTACAGACGTTTTCTGGCCAAAAGCCATTTGTCCTGGTCAGAGAGTGAAAAGGTGAAATTTCCTGTTAATCAGGCCATCCTTCCTGCTTGGAGGCAAAAGCCAGATGTGAAGGAGACGGCCCTGGCAGAATAAAGCCCCCTCCCACCACACACCCACTCTGATCTCTGACGTTTAACCCAAAAACATCGACGAACACAGCACATACATCTGTGCCCCTCTGCTGACCCGCGAGGTTCATGACTGAAAACTTAAAACGACTGGATAACCTATATCGCCATTTCAGCCTGGCTGAGAATGGAATGAAGAGAAAGTGATACAGAGAAAAAAGAGAGAGAAAAGAAGTGAGGAGAGAGACAGAGAAAGATATCACTTTTGCACCTACATTTTGCTGTAGTTATCACTTTTGCACCTACATTTTGCTGTAGTTATCACTTTCGCGCCTACATTTTGTTGTAGTTATCACTTTTGCGCCTACATTTTGCTGTAGTTATCACTTTTGCGCCTACATTTTGCTGTAATTATCACTTTTGCGCCTACATTTTGCTGTAGTTATCACTTTTGCGCCTACATTTTGCTGTAGTTATCACTTTTGCGCCTACATTTTGCTGTAGTTATCACTTTTGCACCTGCGTTTTGCTGTAGTTATCACTTTCACGCCTACATTTCACTGTAGTTATCACTTTTGCAGCTATATTTTGCTGTAGTTATCACTTGTGCACCTACATTTTGCTGTAGTTATCATTTTTGAGGCTACATTTTGCTGTAGTTATCACTTTTGGCCTACATTTTGCTGTAGTTATCACTTTTGCACCTACATTTTGTTGTAGTTATCACTTTTGCATCTACATTTCACTGTAGTTATCACTTTTGCACCTACATTTTGCTGTAGTTATCACTTTTGGCCTACATTTTGCTGTAGTTATCACTTTTGCACCTACGTTTTGTTGTAGTTATCACTTGTGCGCCTACGTTTTGCTGTAGTTATCACTTTTGCGCCTACATTTCGCTGTAGTTATCACTTTTGGCCTACATTTTGCTGTAGTTATCACTTTTGCACCTACATTTTGCTGTAGTTATCACATTTGCACCTACGTTTTGCTGTAGTTATCACTTTTGCACCTACGTTTTGCTGTAGTTATCACATTTGCACCTACATTTTGCTGTAGTTATCACTTTTGCACCTACGTTTTGCTGTAGTTATCACTTTTGAGGCTACATTTTGTTGTAGTTATCACTTGTGCACCTACATTTTGCTGTAGTTATCACTTTTGAGGCTACATTTTGTTGTAGTTATCACTTTTGCACCTACATTTTGCTGTAGTTATCACTTGTGCACCTACATTTTGCTGTAGTTATCATTTTTGAGGCTACATTTTGCTGTAGTTATCACTTTTGGCCTACATTTTGCTGTAGTTATCACTTGTGCACCTACATTTTGTTGTAGTTATCACTTTTGCACCTACGTTTTGCTGTAGTTATCACTTTTGGCCCACATTTTGCTGTAATTATCACTTGTGCACCTATATTTTGTTGTAGTTATCACTTTTGCACCTACGTTTTGCTGTAGTTATCACTTTTGCGCCTACATTTTGCTGTAGTTATCACTTTTGGCCTACATTTTGCTGTAGTTATCACTTTTGCGCCTACGTTTTGCTGTAGTTATCACTTTTGCGCCTATATTTCGCTGTAGTTATCACTTTTGCGCCTACATTTCGCTGTAGTTATCACTTTTGCGCCTACATTTTGCTGTAGTTATCACTTTTGCACCTACATTTTGCTGTAGTTATCACTTTTGCACCTACGTTTTGCTGTAGTTATCACTTTTGCGCCTACGTTTTGCTGTAGTTATCACATTTGCGCCTACATTTCGCTGTAGTTATCACTTTTGCGCCTACATTTTGCTGTAGTTATCACTTTTGCGCCTACGTTTTGCTGTAGTTATCACTTTTGCACCTACATTTTGCTGTAGTTATCACATTTGCACCTACGTTTTGCTGTATTTATCACATTTGCACCTACATTTTGCTGTAGTTATCACTTTTGCACCTACATTTTGCTGTAGTTATCACATTTGCACCTACATTTTGCTGTAGTTATCACTTTTGGCCTACACTTTGCTGTAGTTATCACTTTTGAGGCTACATTTTGCTGTAGTTATCACTTGTGCACCTACATTTTGCTGTAGTTATCACTTTTGCGCCTACACTTTGCTGTAGTTATCACTTTTGAGGCTACATTTTGCTGTAGTTATCACTTTTGAGGCTACGTTTTGCTGTAGTTATCACTTTTGAGGCTACATTTTGCTGTAGTTATCACTTTTGCACCTACATTTTGCTGTAGTTATTACTTTTGGCCTACACTTTGCTGTAGTTATCACTTTTGTGCATGCACTGTTGTGCACTTTTTTGTGCATACATTTTACAGTAACTCTGTAATAAATTTATGGTAACTACTAAATGAGGAATTTTAAAAATAGCAGTCACACACCATCAACTGACTATCAGGTCCACATCACACACACTTCCGCAAGCTTCTCTCTGTCTCATGTTTAGCACATTTGTTAGTAAACAAATTACTCTGTGTGTGTGTGTTTGTGTGTGTGTTTGTGTGTGTGTGTGTGTGTGTGTTATGGGATGGATCACACACTCCTGGCGCCGTCTCTTCCTCACAACCACATGAGCTCTAACGCCTCGAGACAGAGACATATTTCTCACAGTCAGAACAGCAGAGTTATTTACCTTTATTCTGAGGGAGTGAGAGAGCTTAGCAGTCACACTAGATCATCTCAGCCAGTCAAATCGGATAAATAAAATAAGACACCATATATGTAAGTGAAAACAACATTAAAGCCCTGAGAACATCAGTGTATCAGCAGAGCTCATCATCAAGCACTGAACACACAGCCTCCTCACAGCACCACACATCTTTAAAAGCCTCCTGGATAACCTATATCGCCATTTCAGCCCGGCTGAGAACGGAATGAAGAGAAAGTGATACAGAGAAAAAAGAGAGAGAAAAGAAGTGAGGAGAGAGACAGAGAAACAAACAGAGATAAAGGAAGAGAGAGAGAGATGAGGGGGGAGAGAAAGAAAGAGAGAGAGATGAGGGGAGAGATAAAGGGAAAGGAAGAGGCAGAGAGAGAAAAAGAGAGAACTGAAAGGGATGAAGAAAAAGAGAAAGGAAGAGAAAGAGAGATGAGGAGAAAGAAAGGAAGAGAGAGAGCGGGAGAAGGATAGAGAAAGAGAGAGAGAAGAGAGAGAGAGAGATGACAGGAAAGAGAGAGAGAGGGGATTAGGGAGAAAGAAAGGATGAGGAAGACAAAGAGAGAGAGAGAGAGAGAGAGAATAAGAAAGAAAGAGAGATCAAGAAAAAAGAGTGAGGCAGGGGATGGAGTGAGAGAGAGAAAGGAAAGAGAAAGAGAAGAAAGATGCAGAAAAAGGGAGAGAGGGAGAGAGAGATGGGGTGAGAGAGAGAGAGAGAGAGAGAGGGGATTAGGGAGAAAGAAAGGATGAGGAAGACAAAGAGAGAGGGTAGGAAGACAACAAGAGAGAGAGAGAGAATAAGAAAGAAAGAGAGAGATCAAAAAAAGAGTGAGGCAGGGGATGGAATGAGAGAGAAAGGAAAGAGATAGAGAAGAAAGATGAAGAACGAGGGAGAGAGGGAGAGAGAGATGGGGTGAGTTAGAGAGAGAGAGAGAGAGGAAAGTGTGAGCGAGCGAGC